TGTTTATTATATTTTAGCAATAAACGACAATATGAATTTATTTAAAAAAAAAATTACTACCCACTACTTAAATTCTTTATCGCATAATATTTCATATGAAAAATACATACTAAATTTCTCCTACAAATAGTTGCAAATTTGGAATTAATCACGATATTTTATGCATGAAATAACCTTCTTAAATATTTCCGTAGATCTATTTAGCAAAAAAGTGGAAATTTATAACATAAGTATTCAAATGATACTTATAATATACATAATGATACTAGATGTATAGTTGTAGCACGAATTGGTCGGCTCGACCGGGGAAGGACCACGCTCTCACAGAATACCAGCGTGAAATGGTTTCTTAATGCTGCTGTATTTCGTATGGTGAGTGTAGAGAATCGGAGAACCTTTTTACTGGAAATGAGGCATTCCATCTTAGTCCTTACGAGTGACAACGCATCTGCATTTTGATTCGTAATCGAGGACAGATGTAGATGTCTTTGGGCCACAGCTACCACTTACCATTAGGTGGACTGTGTGCTCGTTTGTCTCCTTATACTATAAAAAAATACTATGTGTATTGGGGTTGAAATAATAACCATTTCATTATAATTTCTATTATTTTGAAATTAAAATTTTCTGAGAATAACTGAGTCTAGATAGGTATAAAGATTTACACAAACCTTGGGGAAGCATGCGCCGCTTAGCGGCTTGCTTTGAGTCGGCCATGTCAGTGACCTCATATCGGCCGTAGACTATTATTTATTCTTTGACGTAGATAATATTATGTCGGCACGTGTCGGTAAGTTCAGAAGCAAATAACATTTTTAGAAATTTAATATTTCTTAAATTATTTTATTAGAAACCTAATAACCCCATTTAAAGCAAACAAAAATCATAATTACCATGCCTATGTGTACGTACACCTATACGTCCCTGAAACGACCAACAGGGTTTTTGTTACATACTGTATATATATATATATATATATATATATATACTACTTATTTATATATCTATCTCTCTCTCTCTCTCTCTATATATATATATATATATATATATATATATATATATATATATATATATATATATATAAAATACTTAACTAAATGATATTAACTTAGGCTCTAGCTCTTTTGAGACTTGCTCCTCGGGTACTTCAGATGACGGATATGACAGTTTTCACAGTACTCTCTCTCTAAATTATTCCTTAGATTCTTGCTTCTTAGATTGTGCTAATAATTTCAATGTAATACACATAAATGCACAGAGCATTCCCGTACACTATCCTGATATGCTGACAAGTTTAATCAACAAAAACATTCATGCAATTCTGGTCTCCGAAACTTGGCTTAAGCCTTGTTTACCATCCATTTCGTATGCAATCCCAGGTTTTCATATGTTGCGTAATGATCGACTCATCAGAACTGATGGTGGCTTTGCCATATATCTTCGTAAAGATATTCGTTACTCCATAATCAGCATATCGTCCACCTCAATTGTCAGTTGAAAGTGCAGCAGAACATCTTTTGTTATGTATTATATATTTTCATGTTATCATAATGGGTGACTTCAATACGTGTCTTCTTAAAAATTATGTCCACTCAAAGAAATGAAAGTCCGTAGTTGAATCATGTAATCTTTACATTTTGCCTTCTAATCCTATCCATTACTTTCCAAATAGTACCTCTTCTCTTCTTGATTTAATAATTGTTTCCTCTCCGGATTATATATTCAAACACGGCCAGTATAATGCGGATGCTTTTTCTTACCATGATCTGTTGTTTTTGTCTTATAAATTACGATCACCAAAAGTCAAGTCCCGTGTTCTTCTGCTACGTAATTTTGCTAAAATGGACGTAGACTGTCTTAAAAATGATGCTTCCAGCATAGACTGGTCGATAATTGATGAGACCTCTGACGTTAACGAACAAGTGCGTCTTTTAAATTCCATTTTAATGCAGCTCTACGACAAGCATGCACCTTTACGACTAATTAAGCTTAAGGATCCGCCGGCTCCTTGGCTCACAAATGAAATCAAAGACCTAATGTCAAGAAGGAACCTAGCCAAATCCAAATTTAAAAAAGACCCCTGTGATATAAATCGTGAGAAGTACAGGATACTTAGAAATCGCTGACAAAATGCGAATCATCACATATGAATCTGATCCTAATAAGGTTTGGAAATTTCTCAAGCTTGGGAATTGGTAAGAAGCAAAATGACTTCCTTCCTCCTGATTTGAACATTGAAATGCTTAATCAGCACTTTTCCTCAAGTTCTAGTCACGTTAACAGTTGTAAATCTAGAATCTTAAATCACCTTCATTCTTTGCCAACTCCCGATTTCTCTGAATTTGTTCTACGTCAGTTTGCTGACTGTGACATTAAAAAGAATATCACAGCTGTAACTTCTAATGCAATTGGTAGTTATAATGTTAGCCGAAACATGATTCTCCCGCTATTAGATATCTTGACTCCTAACATAACTAAAATTTTCAACAACTCTATAAATACAGGTACTTTTCCTACATTATGGAAAGATGCACAAATTATTCCATTACCCAAGAAATCTAATCCCAAGTCCTTCTGTGATTATCGTCCTATTTCCATATTACCTTTTCTTTCTAAAATTCTTGAGCGTCTTGTTCATCAGCAACTTAGTCTATTTTTAAATCTAAATAACCTCTTAAATACATTCCAATCAGGTTTTCGCCCTAGCCATAGCACCGTCACTGCTTTGGTTAAAATCACAGACGACATTTGAGCAGGAATGGAGAATCGGCAAGTTACTATTAATACTCTTCTTGATTTTAGCAATGCTTTTAACACAGTCGATTTCGACATACTTCTAGCTGTGCTCCGTTCTACGAGTATTAACGTATCTCCAGCAGCAACCGACTGGTTTCGTAGTTACTTGTTTGGACGCCGTCAATGCATCCGTATTGAAGACACTTATTCCTCGTGATGTTCTCTAGATGCAGGCGTACCACAGGGTGGCATGTTTTCTCCTCTCCTTTTCTCAATTTTCATACGCTCTATTACTTTAGGAATTTATTCGCTCTACTATCTTTATGCAGACGATCTCCAGATATATTCTCAAACAAGTATTGAAAATCTTCCATCCGCCGTGCTATCCATAAATCGTGATTTCACAATTATTTCTGAATTTTGCACATCTTATGAAATCAAGGTTAACCCTAGTAAAACGCAGGTAATAGTGCTAGGTAGCAGCAAACTACTACAAAAATTACATGGCACACGCTGCCCTTTGTTTGTTTTGTGAATTCTGTTATTCCTTATGGTAAGGTTGTAAAAAATCTAGGGGTTCTAATTGACAGTACATTGTCTTGGGCACCTCAAATTGAACAGATAAGCAAGAAAATGTTTGCAGCTTGTGGAAGTCTTAAGAGACTCCGAAATTTCCTGCCCATTTCTACCAAAATTGCGTTAGCACATTCCATTTTGTTACTTATTTTAGACTATGCTGACATATGCTACACTGATATTACCATGGGGCAATTAAACAAGCTTGAGCGTCTTGAGAATTTATCCATTCGATTCATATTTGGTATACGCAAATATGATCATGTATCCCAATTTCGAAATCAACTCAAGTGGCTCCCTATTCGCCTTCGCCGGAATGTTCATATACTCTCTTTACTTTTTTGTGTACTGTTTGGACGTGTACTGAATGGGATAGCTAGGCCTTCTGAAAGTTCTTGGTCTTCGCCACTCCATTTAGTTCCAAAAAAAGATAATGGTTGGCGTCCTTGTGGGGACTACAGAATGCTTAACGCTCGAACAGTGCCCGACAGATATCCGATCAGGCACATTCAGGACTTTGCACATAGTATATCTGGTTGCAAAATTTTTAGTACATTAGACTTAGTCAAGGCTTACAACCAAATACCAGTTAGTCCTGAAGATGTACCAAAAACTGCAATAACAACGCCTTTTGGACTCTTTGAGTTCCCATTCATGGGTTACGGTGTACGGAATGCTGCAAAAACGTTCCAGAGGTTTGTGGACGAAATGACAAGGGGACTCGACTTCTGCTATTGTTATTTAGACGATTTTTTAATTTTTCAAAGGACGAGGCACAACATGAACAGCATTTGCGTGCAATTTTTCAAAAACTAAAAGAATATGGTATGCTAATTAATACGTCTAAGTGTGTTTTTGGTGCTCGAGAAGTATCCTTTTTGGGATATCACATCTCGGCATCAGGCACCAAACCACTAAACACTAAAGTTGAAGCCATAAAAACTTCCCATTGCCCACCAATGTTCGTCAACTTCGACGATTTCTGGGCATGGTCAATTTTTATAGGCGATTTTTACCACGTGCTGCAGAAATACAAGCACCGCTTAACGCCTTATTGGCAGGCGTAATAAAGAATAACCAACCTATTACATTATCTGGTGAGTCTTTAAATGCATTTAAAACATGCAAAGAAAGCCTTTCTGAGGCAGCGTTATTAGCGCATCCAGATTGCCAAGCAAAAGTGGCTTTAGTCACTGATGCTTCGGATAATGCAATATAGCTGTCCTACAGCAGTTAAAAGAAGACGTATGGCAGCCGCTAGCATTTTTCTCCCGAAAGCTGAACACTTCTCAGACAAAATATTCCCCTTACGACAGGGAGCTCCTAGCAATTTATGAGGCTATTAAATATTTTCGCTACATGTTAGAAGCAAGACATTTCACAGTATATACGGACCACAAGCCAATCAGTTTCGCATTTCATGCAAGGAAATCCTTGTTCCTGTTCGCCTGGCAGTATAGGAACTTAGATTATATAGCTGATATGTATTGCGGGTGCGCAGCACAGCCAGTAATAAACTAGCCTCGCTACTAAACGGTTGTTTCCTTTGTTCAATACATCTCACTGGCGACGAGTTTTGTACATACCTACGCGTAAAAATAATTATGTCGTATTTAGAATTTGCTTGTTTTCGATCACAAAACAAGTGAATGGTCAATATTTTATGGGAAATTAACACAGTTCCTAAGGATAAATAACGTGACAAAAGAAGAAATTAAGAGTGGTATCCTGCTTACTCATCTCACCGATGAAACCTACCGCTTAGTACGTAACTTAGCGTACCCTAACACGGTGGAATCGTTAACTTACAATGAGCTAGTTCAAATACTCAACAGCCATTTCAAACCAAAGCAGTGCTCCTTCGTAGATAAGGCCAACTTTTTTGGAGCGACTAGAAGTCCAGGAGAATCACTGGGAGACTGGGCGGCGCGATTAAGAGGACTAGCAAGCTATTGCGAATTCGGCGACGCCCTGGAAACGAATCTGAGAGATCGTTTTGTCCTAGGCCTGGGCTCTGGCCCGGAACGCGACAAGCTGTTCGAGCAGAACCCGACAACACTTACGCTAACTAAAGCGATTGAAATAGGGGAACAAGCTGCTTGCGCAAGAGAGGTAAAGGTGATGCTGAATACGAGCGATTTTTGGGCTCATCAAGGAAGAGCCTGTGTATCGTGCAAAAATTCACCAGTTCGCTCGGGGAAGCGGAGGTGACGGCAGTCGCAATGACAGTGTCGGCGCTAGGACATCGCGACGCGAAACTGGCTCCTGTTCAGTTTGTGGTATGAAAAATCATTACAGTGATAAATGCCGGTACAAAAGCTATATTTGTCAAAAGTGCGGTATAAAAGGGCATTTAAAGAAAGTTTGTGCTAAAAATAAAAAAAATAACTCGTGTGCTTATCACATTCAATCAGAACAGGAATGCGGCGCTAATGAGGTCAAGGACACAGGTTGCGTAGAATGCCAGAACTTTAACTTAAGGTACGTTGATGATAAACCAATTGAAATAAATTTAATTTTGGGCAATCACAACTTAACAATGGAACTAGATTCAGGCTCGAGCAGCTGTGTAATTTCTGAACAATTGTATGCTGAAAAGTTTTCCGATTATCATTTAAATAACAGCAATATAAAAATGTGTCTGTATAATGGGCATAAAATCTCTCCACTTGGATATTTCTGGGTCGAAGCTTGTTATAATAAAGTTAAACACAAAATAAAAATTTATGTTGTTAAAAATGGGGGCCCTCCCCTGCTGGGTAGAGATTTTATGTCCGCGTTTAATTTAATTATAACAACTAACATAATGTCTATGTTGATGTAAACAATGTATTGCAAAAGTTCCCTAATTTGTGGCAGGATGAGTTAGGTTCGTTCAATAAATTTAAAGTATGTTTACGTTTAAAGGAAAATGCAAAACCTAAGTTTTTCAAGCCACGAACCGTACCCTTTGCCCTTAGGGATAAAGTCGAAGAAGAGTTGAACCGTTTATTAACCTTAGGTATTTTAGTTCCAATTGACCAATCAGAGTATGCCACGCCTATTGTACCTGTTTTGAAAGAAAACAATAAAATAAAAATAGCAGGAGTTTTGTCGGTCACGCTGAATAAAGATCTTTTGATTGAAAGATACCCCTTACCTCGAATCGAAGAAGTATTTGCTAAAATTGGGGGTGGCGAACGATACAGTAAAATTGATCTTAAGAATGCTTATAATCAATTTGTTTTAGATGAGCCATCCCAATTACTTACAACAATAAATACCCATAAAGGGTTATTTAAATATACAAGACTAGTGTATGGCTTATCTAATGCACCTGCAATCTTTCAAAAGGCTATGGAGACACTTCTCTCTGGCATAGATGGAGTCAGCGTATGGCTCGATGATATATGTATAACTGGCCCCAATAGTGATTCCCACATTAAAAGATTAGAAGAAGTATTAAGTCGGTTTTTTTTTTTGAAGAAACAAATATAAGTATAATTAATGAAATTAAATTATAATATTTACAATTACTAATACTAAAAACCTTAAAAATATATATTATAATAACTAAATTAAATTATTAAAAAAGAGGTCCTTTAGGCAAGGTTCCGAAGATACTGGCAGCGTTTCCCCGTTGAATAGCTAGACTAATTCTTTGTCCGAGGTAACTGCCAGCTCTTCGGTCTCCTGTGACGTCGATTAACCTTTTTGCTATTTCCTTAAAAAGGCTTATAGCGCTAGGACCCCACGGACCAAGGGTCTCGACACCGAAAGGGACAAAAATATATTCGGAGCCTAGACCCCTGTATTTGCAAACTTTAGCCTTTTCTGCCGCTTCACAAGCCGCACCAGCTCTGTTGTTGGTTCCACGTAGATGGGAAGGGGCCAGCGTGTCTGAACAGGTTGCATCCCATACCAGCACCCGGCCCATCCTCCATGGAATCAAACTCATACCGTCCGGTCTCTTGCCATCGTCTCTTGCAATACCAGACGGCTCAAGTAGACTTGGCACGTTGACGGTGGCAAGAGACCGGCGTATGATATCGTTAAGAGCTGCATGTCTCGAGAAGCGACCTGCACTTTTTTGGCATGATAGCCCGTGATATCCTAGCTTGTCGACGTCACTGCCACACGGACATATATGAGGAGCGCAGACCGGAACCCCAAGCCGTAGACAGGTTGCGATTCGGAGCGTGTCAGGCTCAAGAAATGTTCCTGTATTTGACGAAGGATACGCGTGAAGCCAGTAGCCGGCCTCATGCGTACCCACGGCCAAAAGCCTAGCACGCGCCGAACCTGTACTAAAGCTCAAAAGATTGTCATAAGTCAATTTGCAGTTTATGTCGTCCCAGCTCCTCTGTGAATTTAGAGGAAATTGAAAATTTTGACCAGGGCATGCAATTAAGAAAGCGTTTCTAGCTTCTTCCAGGCCAGCAATCTCAAAGTTTGAAGGGGATGCCCTTAAAATTTTACTTATGAGATTTGCTGAACTATAGACAGAAGATAGGAAGGCTGGTAAAGAGACACTGGAAATTTTGCGAATTCCTAAACCACCATAACGGATGGGTAGGGAGGCTTGGGTCCAAGATTGCTCATTCATGTGTATATTAAGAATCGATTCTAAACTAATTTTGATTAAGTTGTCCACTTGTGTCAAGAGGTCTGGGTGATTCCAAAAGGAGCAGCAACGGAGCACATACGTAAATTTCGGGACAAAAAGGCAAGATTTTAAAATGCAAAGTGCATAATGTGGACTAATTTCAAGGAGACGGTCAGCAGAATTTTGAAATTTAGCAATTGAATTATTAATATATTCAGACATAGATTCGTTAAAAATTGGAGAACCTAAAAGGTAAAGGGAATTACTGTTAACTATTTTAATATTTGGTGCCAAAGTATTAAATTTGTGTTTTACGTCATTTAAATTTAAGTTGCAGTTATTTATAAAAAGTTCGCATTTGCTAAAGTTAAGCTCCAAACCAATGGCTTCAAATTTATTTTTGATTGAAAAAAAGGTCAGAAAATACAGTTTCCATATCACCTCCTAAGGTTCCGTCATCCAGATACCAAATATTGAATTTAGAATTTAAACTTTTGATTATGGGATTTATAGCCAAACTAAAAATTGCTGGTCCAAGGGGATCACCTTGTTGACAACCTACTTCCGAGGATAATTCATTAGACCGATATAACAATTTTGTTGGGTCAGCGTAACTGAGAAGAAGATAATTGTATATTTCGGGTATATGTTGATTTATTTCGGTCAGTAGGGTCCCCCTATTTACCGAATTGAAAGCATTTTTGACATCAATTTTGAGCAACACGTCAGGATGTCCATATGTTAGGAAAGAACGTAGGGCATGGACGGCTGCCTCACACCCTCCTTTTACACCGAAGCCTAACTGTACGGGTTCAAATTCCGAATTTAATTTCTGTAAAATATGTCGAACAGCAATTTTGGAGGCCAGGCGTCGTAGTGTTGATCCAACAGCAATTGGTCTCACCCCTCCGTCCTTTTTGGTGAGAGCAATGAGGTTCGCGCCGAAAAGAATTGGAACAATTTCTGGATTGACATTACCGGAATACATAAAGTTAATTAATTTAGTGATCGAATTTACAAGTTGCTCACCTGCATCACCCACAGAATGCGATGTTAAGTCTTTCAAATGTTGCGGTGAGATTCCATCCAAACCTGCAGCCGAACCTGGTTTAAAAGATAAAATGGCATCCGTAACATCTTTGTTTTGAATTTGAAGGCATGCTTGCCCTACTGTTGGTCGGTCGAGAAAATATGGGTTTACTGGAGCTAGAGTATGTTTTGACCGTAAGGCCTGAAGGGTGTCAGGGGTATCTGGTGAAAGCACCTCGTTGGAGAACAAAAGGCGAGCGGCACCTTTGAGATCTCCGTCACAGATTTTGTTTTCGATTAGTTTGTTGCGATTACGAGGGGCATCATGTTTGATTAGAGGTGCGGGAGAAGGTGAGGAGCTGACAGTACAGTTATTTTTAATCTTTTGTGTCAAGGATAAATTTGGTTTATCAGTTTTTGTTATATGTAGTGTGCTGTATGAAAATAAAAATAGGTTCTGCCAGTCTTGAGTACAATTGCTTATGTAACATTTCTGGATTAATTGTGACAAATGTGTAGCAACGGTTATTCGAGCTCCTCGAGGGATTCTTTTAACTGTCGGTATACTATTTTTCAAATGGCTAAGATATGTGTGGAATGGAGTTGGAAAGTTGGCTGCAAAAGTAGGCGTATTTGGAATAAAAGGGTGTATGTCTAAAGGTGAACTGTTTTGGCTAATACATTTCCTGTGTGTTTTTGTAGTGTGTATGTTGAGGCCTTTTAAAGATTTGAATGACTTGTTGCACTGTGTACATATAAGTGTCGCGTTTGCCGTGTCATCACTAGATTGGGTTACGGACTGCATTCACAACAGTTAAATACAATAACAAAAAAAGAATAACTTAAAACAAATTAAAAAAAAAAACACAATAAAGTAACTTAACAATTACACTGAAGATATAAAAAAAGTCAAAGTCAAAATATGAAGGCTGCTTGTTTTGGTAACAAGACGCATGCGTCGTTACGTAGGTGCGTCACAGGACGGTTCTGCAATTGGAAGCTGCAGTGTAAGAGATCCACAGACGTATGGCGTCGGTAGAGTAAACGATGGCGGCCTTAGCAACCGTGTCTTGAAGTTATCATACGCGGACTAGAAATTTTCAAATACTGAACAGGCACTGTAGTGGGAACAAAAACAAAATCCCCATGCGCAAATATGAAAAATATCCCGACAAACTCTTATATGGCTTTGCGATACGATAGCTCTTCATCAGTCAATCAAATATATATTTCAGAAATACTTTGTTGCGAATTGTTTTGTTACATTTGGCATATTATGTCACAATCTTGAAATTTTTTTATGTCTCGTAGTTAATTTCAGATATTATATAAACCACTGTTATACTATTTAAATCTTTGACAACAATAAAAATTTCCTTTGTGCACTAAAATTTTACAATTAAAATGTATAGTTATTTTTATTAAAATATTTAGACAAAATAAACATAGTTGACACCTGTCTATTTAAGTCGGTTAAGTGACGCCGGGTTGCGACTACAGAGAGACAAGTGTGATTTCTTTAAGGATAGTGTAAAATATTTAGGCTATGTCATAGATAAAAGCGGCTTAAAGACTCACTCGGAAAAATTTCACGCTA